ATATGTAAGAATGTATATTATTAATATGTATATTATTATATTACATATATATTATTACTTTTTATATTATTATAAATATAATTGCAGTATGTGACGACAATTGGTATGGATATAATTGTGCAAACAAGTGCGGTTTATGCAAATCTTTTGGATGTAACAAAGTAACTGGAGAATGTATCAACGGATGTGTTAATAACTTGAAAATATTTTACCTGCCACCATTGTGTCATATAGGTATAGTAGAAGTTTTTCTGATTTACGATACACTACTATGATTATAGTTGTCAGACACTTCTGTCATTCTTATAATAACTGTTAGACAAACGATGTTATATTGATTTTTAAGGCTTAGATAAGCTCACAAAACCTGAAATTGTCTCTATCACTTCAACAAGCATTCGAATTAAACATTCTATAATGTGGAAAGAGGAATATGAAAAAATACAAATAACTTATTCGTTTGCTATTACGGTAACACTACTTTTGTTTTATAATAGAATTGGAACAAATATTTAAAACAAAAAATTTAAAAAAGTGTGTCTGTGATGATAAGTTATCAGTACCAAACCATGTCTTTCTAATCAATTACTCTAGTCATAGTTTGACGTATTTGGAACAAACAAATGAAATAAAATTTTCTAATACATTTTCTAATATATTTTCCACAGGGAGAAAATGATTACATCTTTACGCAGTCATGGAATAGACTGTTTCAAAATATGACATATTTGATCGGATACGTCAACAATTTAAATCCTGGTTCTGTTTATTCAGTCAACTGTATATTACTTGCAGAGAATGAAATAATTGAAAACAAATGGCAAAGTGTGGAAACTGATTGTGAACGTAAGTAGTGATTTTTGTTTTTTTTTTGCGCGAGCCTGTATGGGTCTATACAGGCTCGCAAAGAATATAGCATTATTTCTGGCACTATGCAAAGAGAACACATAAAAAGTTTACAAAATATACTGCTGTCTTTATATTACTTTATAATGAAATATGTGTCCAAATTGCTGTATACTTATATCATGTGTTACGTCCTGGCCCACGGTTACGGTCGGGCTATGGTGGAGTAACAGAGAGCTGTCGTTTCTCTGTCTATCTCCGCACAGCAGGATGGCGATTCCGCTGCAACAGAGTCGAGCGAGTTTGCTTATGTTCGTCGATAGGTCAACGGCGTACGCCGATCTTACTCTGTCTAGCGAACACTCACTCGTTGGTCTCTTTTCAAGTCTGGAGAATTAACTCCANGGACTAAGGACGAGACCGTGCGATCAATTGAGGATGTGGAATGGTGAGAGGTCGTCTTAATTAAACGGAGAAATTATGATACATATGATATTAATTTATTCATTTAATGGGTGTTAAGATTACAATTTTGAGATGTGTATTCGTATGGATGAATGTGGTATCGCGGATTTTACATTTAAACGGAAGGTCATCGCTCGGAGGCTAGAGAGGGGAAATATATATATATGTGTGGATGCGTGACGCGAAGTGTGTGTGAGGGGCCTCCGGCGGGGTTTTACAGGTGTAACTGTGTCGCTAGCATGTTTGAGACGCCGCGCGCGCGATTCGTGGGATAGGAATTATTCAAGGTCTATTTCTATTATTTCCTGGAATTTTGCGGAACTTGGAGGGAACATTGTATAAAAATGGTGAACGGGAACTAAACAGATATCATCTATATAAGGGAATTTAACTGGGAGGAGTTTTCTAGCTGGAGTGGTGGTTATCACCCGGAAGATTTCGGAAGGATCTGTTGTTAGAAGGTCAAGGACAAAGGGGATTCTTTCCGGATTTGCTTTTTTATAGATGGAGGCTAATCGGAGAAAGTG